GCCCCAGCTCTGAAGCGACCACTGAGCTCACTTTGGAATTGTAAATATTTATTGATCTGCTGGCTTTTAGAGCAAGTGTATTTTTTAATTCCTCCCAATGAGCCATCCCTTAGAACCAAGAAGACATGGAGCGTTTTGTGCCCCCAATTCCTGGCCTGCCAAGAAAGGGGAAGGCGCTTCCACATCTCTGCTCTGTCGGGGGCATCATCGTTCTGTTCTTTCTTGGCCCCCTCCATGTGGTCATCATGGAAATTGCCCTTGTGGTCCTGCCCAGGCTCCCCAAGCCCCCCAGCTCTGTCCCGGTGGTCATGTCTGGCTCTGCTGCCCCCACCATGCACCAGGACTCGCCTTGGCCTTTGTAGGGGGTGCCCGCTGGGTGGATCTCGGGGTCCTCACTCTTTGATCTTTGCTGGACCGGCAGGGTTCAGGGCACAGCCACTCCACCGTCCCATCCTATTGTCTTTGCCTGCTGGTGGGACAGGAGGTGAAATCTCAGAGCTGAAGCCGACCTCTGAGCCGGGAAGCGGCTTGCCTAGGAGCCATATACAGGGTTAAGCACTCTTCATTCAGGGCTCTTTCCACTGGGCTACACTGTCTTTTGGTCTGACTTATTTAAAACACAAATTTTATTGACACTTTTTGATTATATGACCAGAAAAAGCCCCCAGCGTTGAATCTTGCAACAACAAAGAGAGCTAAGCAAAAGCAAACTGTCGTGATGGTTCAACAGCATATGTAGTATCCTGCTCTGGTGGCCCCCCACCTCTGTGCTTAGAGGTGAGAGACTGTCTTCCTTTAACAGGGAAGCACTGGAGGGGAATAGGGATAGGAAGGGCTGTCACTTTCATTTGAAGGTCTGGCTCTGCCCAATTTGCCAGCGTGAAAAGCCCAGTCTTTGAGGGCACAGGAATGGCGCGCATGGTGTATGATGGTCGTGGATTTCAGCTGGCCAATCTGCGCTAACTCTGCACTCGATGCTGTGGAGAGACAAGCTCAGGCTGATGGCAAACGTGCTCTGGCATCCTTCCTGTCACTCCCTGTCGGGGACGCTCAAGGCCAGACGTCCGGAGTCCCTCGCCTCTGAGCACCAGCTGGAGATCTCGTGACATCCATGCCCACTTGTGTCTGCTGCCATTGGAAGGCAGTGGAAGCCAGGCTGGGCTTTGGGTGGCATCGGCTGCCAGCATCTGCCAGGCCCTGCCCCCTGTCCCTGGCCTCCTGGTGACCCAGCCATGGGTGCTGCTGGCAAAGGGTCTGTCAGGACAGCCCGGTGACCCAGTGCTTTGGGCCTCAGCCGTGCTTTGGAGCTCCAAAGACATTTCCAGGAAATCCTGCATCAAGTAAACCTGGAACCAGGGCCAGGAGTGTGGTGCAGCCCCTCTGCCAGGGGGCGTGGCTTGTCACCTCTGGGAGGTGCCCTCTCTGAAGGGGCAGGTCTCATGGGAGAAAGACGTTTTTCCTTTCATTTTAAGCCTCTTTGAATGGTTGGCTAAACTGAATGCTAAAGTATTCCATCTACTGATTGCTGACCCAGTGTCTGGCTGGTGGTCCCCCCTTTATTTCTTTTCCTTCTTCCTCCTCTATTCTCTCCTTCAGACAACAGTGTAAGGAGAAAATCAGCCGACCAGTTTTTATGGAGCCCTCTTCTGTGAGCCCAGCCCTGTGCCAGACTCCATGGGGACCATGCCCACTGTGAGGCCAGCCCTGTGCCACATGCCATGGGGACCATGCCCGCTGTATGCCCAGCCCTGTGCTGGGTGCCGTGGGGGCCGTGCCCGCTGCGCGCCCTGCCCTGTGCCGGACACTGGGGGCCCTGTCTCGTTCAGAAGGTGGGGTCTACTCCTGCTGTTGGACAGCACCAATTAGAACCAGCACAACTCTCGAGAACCTTCCATAGCTCACCCGGTGGCACAGGGCGGCCTTATTTTAGGGAGGAGGAAAAACTAAGGTTTCGGGAAGGGGGTGACTTGCCCACATCTGAGGCAGGATTTGAACCCAGGTCTCAACTGACTCCAGGCCCAGTCTCCTGGTCCAGCTCTCGCTGCTTTGCCCATGTTCCTCTACGCTGTAGGCTGGCCCCATTCTGTGTGCTGGCTCCCTGGGTGATCGATGCCCCAGTCAGTCTAATTGGGGGCTGCTTGGACCATAGCCCTCTACTACCCGGCTTGACTTTAATCGCATTTGCCGGAACCATGTAAGGGGGCAGGGGGACCCAGAGGTGGGGAGGGGCGTTGGGAAGCATGCCAAAGGGGAAGGGAAGGGTCACTGTCCTCCTTGTCCCTTTTGGTTTCTGCCAGGGGCTGGAGGCTTCTGAGCTGGGGCTGGGGGGTGGGAGCCTCCGGTGTCTCCCCCCTCCCCAGAGAGAAGGAGCCTCGGTCCCAGGGGCACAGCGTCAGCCTCCTCTCTTTGGCAGGAAGTCCAGGGAGTGGGGGTGGGGGAGGTGGGGGAGCGGGGTGGGGGATGGGGGGCATGATGTCAGGGCACGAGGTAGAGGGGGGCCAGGTAGGTGGGTGAATGCAGAGACATACCTCAGACCTCGACAGCAAGCTTTTATTAAGCACCACTCTGTCACCTCGCCATGGGCTAGCCCTCTCTGGCCAAAGCTCAAGGTCGCAGTCCCCTACTCCCTCCCCCCACCCCCAGCCAGGGTGGGAGGGAGCATAGAGGAACAGGATGTAGGAACCACATACAGTGTGAATCACCTTAGAAAACTTCCTCCATGTCTCTGATAAACAGCTCATTTCTAAAATATATAGAAAACTGAGTCAAATGAGTAAGAATAAAAGTCATTGATTGTATGTATGGTCAAAGGATATGAACAGGCAGTTTTCAGATGAAGAAATTAAAGCCATCTATAGTCATGTGAAAAAATGCCCTAAATCACTGTTGATTAGAGAAATGCAAGTCAAAACAACTCTGACATACCACAACACACCTATCAGATTGGCCAACATGACAAAACAGGAAAGTGATAAGTGTTGGAGAAGATGTGGGAAAATTGGAACACTAACGCTTTGTTGGTGGAGTTGTGAACTGATCCAACCATTCTGGAGAGCAATTTGGAGCTATGCCCAAAGGGCTGTAAAAATCTGCATATTCTTTGACCCAGCAATACCACTTCTAGGTCTGTATGCCAAAGAGATCATAAAAATGGGAAAAGGACCCATGTGTATAAAAATATTTATAGCAGCTCTTTTTGTGGTGGCAAAGAACTGGAAATTGAGGGGGTGCCCTTCCATTGGGGAATGGCTGAACAGGTCATGGTCTATGAATGTAATGGAATACTATTGTGCTATAAGAAATGATAAGCAGGCTGACCTCAGAAAAACCTGGAAAGACTTGAATGGTCTGTGCTGAGTGAAGTGAGCAGAACCAGGAGAACATTATACATAGTAATAGCCATGTTGTGCGATGACTAACTTTGATAGACTTAGCCCTTCTCAGCAATGCAAGGATATAAGATATCTCCAAAGGCCTCAAGATGGAAAATTCCACATACGAAGAAAAAACTATGGAGTTTGAATACAGATGGAAGCAGACTATTTGCTCTTTTTTTTCCCTTCTATTTTGTTTTCTCTTTCTTGTGGTTCCTCCTATTGTTTCTAATTCTTCCTTACAATGTCACTAACAGTGAAAATGTTTAATAGGAATGTATATGAAGAGCCTGTATTAGATTGAATGGCATCTTGGAGAGGGGGAGAAAATTTAAAACTCAAAGGCCCATGGAAGTGAATGTTGAAAACTGTTGCCCAGGAGCTCGAGCAGCTGGGGGGGGGGGCTGCTGATGGGGCCCCTCTGCTTCTCCTGCCAGGAGTTGGAGTGTCCATTTTTCACGTAAAAGGAAGCGTAGTGACGTTGATCTACAAGCTGAATAGCACAGGGGCCCCCTGGTTCAAGCCCTCCCTTTGCTGCTTTCTATCTCTGGGAAGCTACTAACTCCTCCAGCCTCAGTTTCCTCCTCTGTGATGGGGGAGGGGATGTATCCCTTCCAGTGCAGAAGAGACCCTCCAGAAGCATGGAAAAGCCTGGGGCTGGGTAGGATTCTGGAGGCCACCGGCAAGCTTCCTGTGTGGCCCTGGCCAAGCTCATCTCTGGCTCTGGGGCATCTCCTCACTTTCCTTCCAGGCTGTCAGCTGAATCTCTATGTGGTCTTGGGCAAATCCCTCTCCATCTCTGGGCTTCCTCAGTTTCCTTCCCTGTACATGGGGGGGGGCATGGTGTGGTCTAGACCTCCAAGGTCCCTTCAGATCTGGCGTTCTCTGAAGGTCTTTGGGTCTTCCAGTCTGACCTGGAAATACAGAGTGGAAATCATGTTACCACCTGAGCTCAGCATCCCTGGGTGATGGGTTGAGGGGCAGGGAGTGACTCCTGAGAATAGCATCCTTGGGGGTAGGGTGGGGGGAGGGAATGAAAGCTCAGCATGACTTGCTCACCATCATTCAGCTTCTGCATGTGGGCGGGGTCAAACCCAGGCCCCTTCTCTGGCTACAAACAACAGCTGCTTCCTAAGCACCTACTCCGTGCTAGGTGCCAGAGATAGACAAAATTAGACAGCTCCTGCCCATCCTGGAAGCCAGTGGACCTCGCACGAAGTTACTCAGAGTTTCCGTTTTCCCGCCTGCCCAATGGGGTTGGTTGCACCCATCCCTTCCCTCCCAGAGTTACAGGGAGGAAAGAGCGCTTGGTGAAGTCACCAGCCTTCCCCAGAGGGGGTGCTTCCCGGGAGCTGCTGGCTGCTCTTCTTCCATGCCACGGCACAGTTGAGCTTCGAGCTGGCTTGGCACAGGGTTGGGGTGTTTGTGATGGATAGACCCCCTCCCCCACTGGCGGATGCTTGCAGGGCTATTCTGGTACTTCTGGGTTCCCCCTCTCATTTGGCATCTTTGGGTGCTGTCACCCCCTGTTGGGGAAGAGCCTCATGGCAGCCCTGGCTCCCCAAGGCCCAGGGGGCATTCTAAGATCCTTGGTCTCAGCAGCATCTCTTTCTTTCCTCCCCCCAGAGATCTCACGGATAATTCAGCTGGACTTGGACCTGAAACATAAGACCAATATTCGCGAGTTGTTTGAGGAATTCGATAATTTCCCTGCAGGGGCTGTCATTGGGATCGCCCGGGAGATGCAGCCAGTGTACAGGTATGTCACATGGCAGACAGAAGGGGGGGGTCACCAGAGGTTCTTTCCATGGCTTGGGGGTGTTTTACTGGGGTCTTGGGGCCTGGGGAGCTTGTGATCCTTCCTGGAATGTATTAGATCGTAAGCTTTTTGAAGGCAGGACTTGGTCTCTGTTCATTGCTCCTATCCCCAGCTGTGTGCACAGGACCTCAGTGCCAGGGACACTTAATAAATGTGTGTTGCCGAAATGAATGAAGCTGGCATTCTTGTATAGGCTCATATTTCTCTTTGAATCAGTGCTTACCCACCTTTCTTATCAAAGGAATCCTGTGGCCAAATCTGCAATCCGCTGGAATGGTGACCTTAAAGAAGGAAATGCTTTGTTCTTCCCGTCCAGGACTCAGGGTAACTCACAGACGGGGAGAGGCTCATGACCCCACCCAGCACCACAGGGGATGGGGGAGAGGTCTCCCTTCTCGCTCTAAAAGCCAGAGGTCTTGTCGCCAATAGCCACAGTGGGACAAGCAGCAAGTGTTTCCATGTGTAGCTCCCCAAGGAGTGCAAAGTGCTCTGCAAACCTTCACCCATCGAGTCAGACTGTTGCGATCGCCTGTTTTGCTGCTGAAAAAGACTGAGGCTAAGAGGTTCAGTGACCTGAACCAGAGAAGGGAGGGACCTTGTGGGTCACTTGGTCCATCGCCCGTATAGGCAGACAAGGGAGTTAAAATGGCGCCTCGCCAGTGTCTGAGGGCCTCGGTCATCCTCCTGGCCCTCTCCTGCTAGACACTGGAGGGAGCTGCTTCAGTCCACCTCTGGCCAGGACAAAACCAGCAGCTGCTGTTGATCGCTGGTCTTCCTTACCCCGTTTGGAGTTTTCTTGGCAGAGATGCTGGGGTGGTTGGCTGTTTCTTTCTCCAGCTCATTTTACAGATAAGGAAACTGAGGCAGACAGGGTGAAGTGACTTGTCCAGGGTCACACAGCTAGGAAGTATCTGATCCAGATTTGAACTCAGGTCTTCCTAACTCCAGGCCCAGCACTCTATCCACTGTACCACCCAGTTGGGCGTGCCCAAAGTTTGCACCTGACTCCAAGTTCAGTGTTCTCTCTCCATTGCACTATCCTGCCTTAATGGCCTGGGTATTTTTTGCACTGAATATAGCTGTTAACCAGTCAGTCAGTATTTTTGGAGCACAGTCCCTGCCCTTGAGGGTCCCCAGTCTAATGGGGGAGACAGCCTGCAGACAGCCACATACAAACAAGCTATTGACCAGATTCAGCTGGAGAGAATCCGCAGAGGGAAAGCTTCAGCCTGAAGGGGGATCCTGGAAGCCTTCCTGGAGGAAGCAGGATTTCAGCTGAGCTGTGAAGGAAGCCAAGGAGGCTGCTCCCTCCCAGCTGCCAGCACAGACTACTCTGGGGGCCGGTCAAGCCACCTTTTCTTTCTTGTCATCCAGCACTGAGGCTTATTCTTTGAGATGAGAACCAAGTATGGAGCTCCTTCTGAGCCACCTTGAGTTGGTGGCCATGGAAAGACTGGGGCCCTTTCATGTTGCTGCATGAGGGGGCTGGAGGGGCTGGAGGGGCCTGGGCCTGGGGAATCTTTTCTAAGTTAAGCCTCAGCTCTTCAGCGTTTCTCAGTCCTGCTATTCCAGCCCTTGGGGAAGACACAGGTGAGGAAACCAAGCTCATGTGAATCGCCTTGTGCCCAACCCTGAGGAAGGCCAGGCATAGGAAGAGAATTCCTAGTGCCCAAGAGCCTGCCAAGCCCCCTGGGCAAACTGGCTTTCTTGTGCATCCTTTGCCAGTGAGGACTCTCGTGCCCAGGTGGGTGAAGGGCTCTGGGCCCTTTCACTGACTGTGGAAAAATCCTTTCATATGGAGCAGCTTGCTATACAAAGTTACATCTGCTCAGAGTTCTAAGAGAAACAACTCCTATGACTCAGCGACCTGAGACATTGTTCCTTTTTGAATGTGACAAGCTGCAGTATCCTGGAGCATGTGGGCATCAGAACTCACTCTTCTGTGATATGGGACAATTGTAATTTATCTGAATCACCAACAGAAGAGAATCTAAGTATTAACCACAAACTAAGATGGCACTGGCTGGAAGGACCCAGAGTCTGAACCCAGAAAGAAAGATAAGCGAAGAGAGAGAGAGAGGGAGGGAGAGGAGAGAGAGAGGAGAGAGGGAGAGAGAGAGAGGGAGAGGGAGAGGAGAGAGGGAGAGGGAGGGGGAGAGGAGAGAGGGGAAAGGAGAAAGAGGAGAAGAAGGAGGAGGAGGAGGAGAAGAGAAAAGAAGGGAGACAGAGGGAAAAGACACACACACACACAGACGTAAAAGGACAGATTTCAGACTGCACCAGCTAAGTCTGAAGCTGGAAGTGATGGATACTACAGTTGACAATGATAAGCCCAGATGAACGTTGAAGCAAAGAATCAGAAAAATCACCCTGGGGGTTGACTAATTTGATTGAGATGTCCAGTCAATATGGAGATGTTACCTGGGCGTGGTGTGGATGAACTTGGCTTGATAGAAGCAGCTGTGGCCCACACAAAGTGATGGTCATCAGGGCACTTGTATGAACAACTCTAAGGGAGGAGGAGAACAATGAAGTTTACATTCCCAGAGTTTTGGGTGACCCAGAGCTCATGGGTTTTCTTTACTCAGCTGCCAGATTGATCTCTCTAAAGTCCGGGTCCGACCACGTCACCCCCTCTGCTCAGTAAACCCTTATGGCTCCCTATCGCCTCTGTTTGGCCTTCAAAGCCCTTCCTAACCTGGCCCCCTTCTCCCTTTCTGCTCTTTTTGCCCCTCCCTGCCCTCCCTGTGTCCTCTGTGATCCAGCAGCATTGGCCTCCTGGCTGTTCCCCATCTCCTGATTCTCAGCATTTCCACTGGCTATTCCCCAGGCCTGGAACTCTCCCAGCTCGTCTGCACTAAGATCCCACCGTCTCCAAGAAGCCTTTCCCAGTGCCTTCCCTCTGAGGCCGCCTTGGTTTGTCCTGTATGTGTCTGTGGGCACAGAGCTGTTTGCACATCATCTCCCCACTAGACTAGGAGCTCCCGGAGGGCACGCACTGGCTTTTGCCTTTCTTTGTATCTGTGCCTAGTGCAGAGCCCAGCACACAGCAGGCAATTAATAAATGCTGGCTCATTCAAGGGAATGGTGCCAAAGGGTCATATGTGTTTGATGACCCAGAATGTCCAGCTAAATAGGGATGAATGAAGCCTAAGGGCCAGCCTCTCCTGAGGTTTTCCCCTCCCTCTGACGTGTCCTCCTAAGGCCTTGGTCAGGCCTCTGCAGCACAGCTTCTGTTGCGTGGCTGAAGTGAAAGCGGAGCCTCAGGGTGCCCAAGCCTGCGGATGTCCAGGCCAACCCAGTGCGTCACTGAAGCCTGGCCAGCTTCCGGCGGCTGTTTCTGATTTGATGGGACACACAGAGCCCAGTGCTGATCAAAGCTCTGGGCTGGTGAGGCCCAGGGTTCAAAGGACTGGCTTCCCTTTCAAGCTGCAGGGGGATTCCTGGGCCCCAAAACCTTGGCTTTGAACAACATTTCCATCCTTTTATTGGAATGAGCTAGGAAATGCTTTTCTGACTACATAATGCTGTGTCAGTCCTTAGCCTGGAGCCAGGAGGTGGGGCTGACCTTCATTCTCCTTCAGGATTTAGGATCCTGGGGACATCAGGATACACCCATATGCTTGTCTGTGCAGACCCTCCCTCCACCCCCTAGTGGTCCCTCCCACCAGGCAGTTCACCGACTAGTGAGGTGCCCCTACATGCTTAGCTAGAAGGGCAGACTGCTCCTGGTCTGTGGGTGGACCTACCCAAGCTGATGGTGTCATGCTGTGACCTTCCCTCAGGGCCTGCTCCTCCACAACTCCCGGAGCAGAGGAGCAGCTGGGGGAGGGGGGATCCAAGCGGGAGGCATCACTCTGCCTGAGGGCCACCTCTGCTCTTAGAAGGTGTTTCATGGCCTCGCTCACTGAAGCCCACCCGGACTCCATTTCTCAGTCAGAAAACCTGGAAGTTAGAGGAGATGGTGCCGTGGCTGTGACCCTGGCCGGGATGTCCCTTTGTGATGGGAAGGGACTGGGGAGTGTGTGAGGGAACCTCTGCCCTCTAGGCTGTGGGCCCAGGCAGCCGGGGATTCTCACTGGTCCCGTGGCCAGCTAAGGACATGGAGGTCGTGGCACCTGGACTCTGCTGGCTGGTGCGTCTTCTCCGCTGGGCAGCCTTCCCTAATTGATTCTGTGGCCTTGGTCTTCTCTTCTTCCCCTTCCAATGACCACATGCACTTGTCTGGGGACACATGAGCTGTTTCTCCCATTAGAGTGCAGGCTCCCTGAGGGCAGGGCTGCCTTCCCTTTCACCTGCGTAGCCCCTGCCTCCAGCCCACTTCTGGCACATGGTATGTACAAGGTACAGCCAGTGCAGGTGGGTGACAAAACATTTTGTTAAAAAGTGTGGATTGGTACAGCTTGTTTCTGTGCCTCTGTCCAAGAGGTTATTTAGCTGACCCCCAGGAGGAGTCCAGCCAGTGGCTGGGGCAGCGCTGGCTGCAGCGAAGCCATGAGGTGTCCTCTTTGAAAAGATACAGCAAGAGGACGCGTCAGCAAAGCAGTTAGGCCAGCTGGGAGCTCCATGCTTGCCCACCTCTGCCCTTCCATGCCTCTCTGGGCCCACCCTAGGGACTGCTAGCCTGTGGTTTGTTACCGTGGGGCAGAAGCAGCAGGGTTTTGGTTCCCCCTACTCAGAAGGATGTTTTCACCAAAGGTCCTAATCATAGGAGGCTCCTCTGTTCACTCCTGAAGATGCTGCTTCTTGGGTTCTTCCCCATTCCCGTGGGCTGCCTCGCAAATGGCTCCCAGGCCAACTAGTGTGAGTAGAGGGTAGAGAGTCATTTTATTTATTTAGTTTTTCATTTTCTTCCTTTTTTCTATTAATAATTTGTCTTCATTCTCCCCCACTGCCCCCCAATGGGGGAAAAGCACAAACCCCTATAATAAACAGGCAGAGAAAAGCAAAATAAATCCTTCCTGCCTTGGCCATGTCCAAAAATATGTGTCCTGGTCTCCATGAGTGCTGCTTCTTGAGTCTGTCACCTGAGCAGAGAGCCTCTGGGGGCTGGAGGGGGGAGGTCTCTGAAATGGCGTTGGAGAGGTTGGGGGGGTAGTAACATCAGGGGCCTTTGGGACCTGTGGAGGAGAAAAAATGTGGGGAAAGCCTCTCGCAGACCTCTTCTCACCCTCAGCCAGTCTGTCAGTGAAGTGTCCAGTAACCCAGATTTGGCCAGTAACTAGAGGGCCCCGCTGGTCTGGTCGCTGTTTGTAATCTTGACCTTGTAGCCCCTCAGGGAAGGATGGTGGCTGGGCAAGAAGTGGAGGGATTATACCAAGGAAAAAAATACAGTGGCTCTTCCTTCCCATGGGGCTGATGGGGCCCAGAAGGAAGGGCTTGTGCAGGGCAGCCTGGACAGCACCCCTGGGCATGTGAGCTCCAGAGAAGCAGGTGAATGTTTGTCACCCTGCCCAAATCCGGAAATGGTTAATGGGAGGTGCACAGAGGAAGGTCCATGAGCTAAGCAGGGACTGTCCCTTTGAACGGAAAAGGACACAGCCGGTGCTGTAAACTGGGCGGCTGTTTTGAGTCCTCTGAGACAAAGGCATCATCAGAGAGCCTCGGGGAGCTGGCACAGGGCTTCAACGTAATTTTGATGCCATGTTGGGAGAGTACAGTGTGGGGTGGGGGAGAGGCGCAGCTAGAGGAGGCAGGGCCATGAACTGGCTCAGGCATCCCTGCTCCAGGGTGACCTTTCCTGGGCTGAGAATGGGCAGTGACTTCATCCTTTCCTGCTCCTGGCACAGAGCCCCTCACCTCCCCCTTGCCCCCCTCCCCAGACTGTGTCCACTGCCTCAGTCCTCCCAGGGCAATCCCCAGACTGGGCTAGTGACTGCCTGAGGTCAGAGACCTCCCTGGGGAGCAGAGTGGGAGGTGAGGAAGCACCCCCTACCTCCCTGGGTCTCAAGAGGGCACAGGGCAGATGAGATGAATAAAGAAGTAAGGAAATGCTCTTATGGCAGGGGGTGGACACAACTTAATTCATGTTTGCTCCTATGGGAAGGAGGTAACTTTGTGATGGTGACTGAGGGGAGCTTTTCCATCTTTTGTTCATCCTTTGGTGGCCACAGGGCCATGTGCCTTGCCTCAGTTTCTCTGCCTCTAGAATGGGGAGAATAGCAGCATGGCCTGGTGTCTGTCAGGTACCCAGTAAGGTGATGGTGGCAGTGGCGTCTCCATCCGAGGGGGGTCAATTTCTAGCTCGCCTTCCCCCCTAACTCCCCATCTCTGGCTTGGAGATTCTGAAAATGTACATTTGGATGGTCAGACTCCCCCCCCCCGCCCCAACAAGTGTCTTTTTTTTCCTTCCTCTCATGCCACATCCCCCCATGTGAAAAAACTAATACCCCTTTATAAGCACCATGATGATCCAGTTTCTGAAGAGTTACTTTGAATTTTTCTCCCCTCTTGGGGAGAGGTGGCCCCAGAGCCAGATTCTTCCACCCGTGGATGACTCCACCCCTCTGTGCCTCACCCCACCCTGGGGTGGGGGATGGAGAAGCAAAGGAGTCACCCTTTGGCTAATCCTCACTGTGCTGATCAAGGGCTCAGTGTGGGGGAGGGAGGGAACCTCGACCTGCTGTTTGAGCTTCAGATGACGTTGGCAGTTTGGGCCTTCCTCCTGGCGCCAGGCCCTTTTCAGGGAGCTCCTGGAGGCAGGGGTCCCCAGGCTTCCTGAGGGGAGGACGGCAGCATTTCACAAGGAGATGGACTCTCCCATCCATCCCCTGGGAAGTTACAATGAGGCTGTAGGGGATTTTGTGCTGCTTTTAAATGATTTCTGTTGTCTCCAGCATTGGACAGAGTCCCATGATGGTGGATGGGTGTAGTGGAGAGGAGGCCCATATGTTTATTTATGGCTCCGCCTTCCCCTTCCTGGACCTGTGGCCCTCTGTTGAGGGGAGCCCCTGGCGGGCTCGAGTAGGAGGTGAACACAAGGCCACAGTGCAGGGGCCAGCCTGCCTGTCATGGGGCTCAGTCGACGGAGAGTGAAGGAGGGGGAGCGGAGGAATGTGAGATAATTCAGGCAGATATGCCAGGATAGAGAAGGCAATGGGGAGCCACCGTGCTTTATTGAGTAGAAGAGGCACGTGGTTTTTCTGTGCTTTCACTGAATGGAGGAAGCAGTGGGGAGTGGAGAGCCCGAAGGGAGGGAGGACAACTCAGAGGAGATGAGGCCTTGGGCTAGGGCATGGCCACGGGGATGGAGGGCAGAGAGAACCCAGGAAGACCTCGCTGGGTTCTTCAGGGACTTCCTCCCCTCCTTCCTCATCTCTCTTTTGTCTTCTTGCTGGTCCATTAGCTCAGACTTGTCCTGAGCCTCTCCAGCCAAGGGAGACCCCCAGTCATCCTGCACACAATGAAGTCCTCCTCCCCCTTTATTCTCTTCTCCAAGAGAGCCGGTGGGCCACCCTTCCATGACTGCATGTCTTTGCGGATCATGACGAGGTTAGAATGGGGATGACAAAGCTAGAATGGGGATGGCTAGGCTCACTCACTGTCTCTGCACAGAGCTGTGCTAACAGTCGCCAACGGTGAAATCTGTGCCTATAGATGGGATCTTCTGTCTCCTTTCCTGCTGCTCTTCCCCATCTGTGCGGCTGCCCAGGACCCAGGCCACTGGGTGGCCAAGGCCCCGGTGGTATATCACGGGCTGCCCCACTACTGGGAAGGGAAGTCTGCCTGCTTACCAAGCAAGGCTGGTCATTGGCCAGTACCACGGTCAGTCACTGGGCCCGGGCAGTAATGCCTTTTGGGCGCCATGGAATCCCCCAAGGCTGCATTCACCTGGCGCGGCCTGAGGGAAGCCAGAGGCCCTTCCATGCTGCCATGGAGCTTCAGGCTGGGCCTTCTGTGGATACGGTATTGGTGGCCAGCTGGGGGTACAAGGCCTTGGGTAGGAACAATTCAGACTTGCACGAAGGAGCTGGGGGCTGCTTCCTCACTGGCCTTGGGGGCCTGTTTGAGCTTGTCTGAAGCTCACAGCATTTCTGGAATTGTGATCGCAGATTCTGTTTACGTTCCTTGTGGTCGACACATGCTGAGTTGTTACAGTACTCTGTGTGTGTGTGTGTGTGTGTGTGTGTGTGTGTGTGTGTGTGTGTGTACACACGTGATGGGTCATAAGTAATAGGGAAGAGAAGGACTCAGAACTCCTTCCCTGTCTCTGCTTCCTCTAATCTGTTAGACTTTGATCTTGGGCGGTAGCCTGCTCTGAGTGGCCAGCCCAGCCCAGGGGCTGCTTCCTTTTCAACACCAGGGCTCAGCTAGAGGAGCAGGCTCCACCCATCCCCACCAACCCCCTCATCAATGGCCGTGGCCAGTGCCAGGCCCCAATTTGGAATGTTGCCTTGGGTTCCAGGTGTCAGGTTTCTTGATGGGCAGTGATACCCAGAAGTGGTCCTGATGCCTGGAATGGGAGGGAGAAGGGACTTCAAACTTGTCGTGTGAGGTTTGGGGAAGGAGCCAAGAATGTTCAATGGGAGAGGAGAAGAAGGACCGGACTCTTTACGTATTGGAAGGATGGGCGTACAGACGAGGGTACGGCCTCAAGGGTAGCACAGGGAGGCAGATCTGGAGCAGGAGGAGAGCTTCCCTTCCTCAGTGAGTTCAGGAGTCCCCCACTGCTGGACCGAGGCTCAGGGGTATTGGGTGCAGACTGGCCTGGTGGCTCTCAGGGTCCCTTGGATGCAGAAATTATTTGCATGAAGAATCTCAGTGTTGGAGGGACCTTGGGGACCTCTCCTGACCCGGCCCTGAGTGGGGTTTCCCACAATACTCACCCTGACAAGTGGCTGTCCAGCCTCTGCTTGGAGCCCCCAAAGGATGGGGCCTTCCCCCACCCCAAAGCTCTCCTGGTGAGGAGCCAGGCTCCCTTCAGCCTCCTCACAATTTCCACCCATCATTCGTGGTTCCTCTGTCAGGGGCCAAGTGGACCAAAGCTGGTCCCTTTTCTGCCCAAAGGTGGCCATCCTGCCCCTGCGAGGGCCTCTCTTCAGGCCTCAAGGAGCCCAGAGCCTGAGAGGGAAGAAGGGCAGATGGACAGGCAGGTATTTCTACGTCTGTGCAGGAGCCAGCGCCCTCAGCTGTGTCCGTAGTCCAGGTCATGGGGCAGCGATATCATGGCGCCAGTATGGTTGAGGAACAGCCCCCAGCTGGAATTTGAACAGAGAAAGGAGAGGAAAGCTCCTCTTCCTCCCCACGTGCAAGGGGGATTCTTGGGGACAGAAAGCAGGTTTTCCCAGGGAGGACAGGTGGGAAGGAAGGGCTGTGTTTGGGTGGATGACCCTCAGCCCAGTGATCTGTTGGGCCAAATGTCCTGTCCTCATTGGTATCCCCGCTTCGGGGGGGATGCCTCGGGCAGAGTTCTGGGAACCCAGCGGGAGCTTCCATAAATAGGCCAGCCTCGGGGAGAAGGCTCAGTCCTGTTGGCCAGGCTGGGGGCTGCCCTCTTCCCACTAAGCCAGGAGGCCGAGGCCTGCTGCTGCCTCTGTGCCATCAGCTTGTGAATTAGTGTTCTTGGAGAACACTCCATCATCTTCGGGCCTTTGATAGCAGAACAAACAGCAGAGCGGCAGTGGAGGGGGAGGGGAGGGACAACGAGGGGCAGCACGGCAGCCTGTGCGGTTCTGAGGCTGCCCGGCCATGGCGGGCAGGGGGAGGGTGCTGGTCACTGTTGACTGTCTGTGGGCTGAACCACACGTGTGGGGGCTGGGGCCTCAGGGGCCATAACAGAATCCTTCCTGGAGCGTCCAGCCTCTGCTCAGCGGCTTCCTGGGGAGCAGCCTGCTGCCCACCACCCTGAGGCTGCCCCCTCCACTGCCAGACAGCCCTTCTAGGGAGGCTGTTCCTGGAGGTGGGCCCCTCCCCACGGCTCCCAGGGCATCCGCTGGAGCATGTGCTGGAAGCTACCTTTCACTTCTCCAAACCTTCATCATCCTTCAGCCGATGCTTGCATGAACATGGACAACCTCCATTCCCGGTGGGGAGACTGAGGCTCAGAGGCGCTCTGCCTGGGCCGCTCCCAGTCACGTCATGGAACCTCCGCCTAGCGGCGGCCCCACCCCACCTCATGCTGATCTGCCCTGTCCACAGGACGCTTGGGCCTCCCTCAGGCCTTCGTCCACACTGCCAGGGCCGTCTCTGTTCCGCGCTTGGAGATCCTTCACTTACGTTTGGGAGGGGCTTTCTGACCATGATGCTGGGGACCCTCAGGGCCATCGGGTCAAACCGCCTCATTTTGCAGAAGGGGAAACCAAGGCAGAACAGCTTGCCCAGAGCTACACGGCTGGGAATTGTCTGAGGTGGAGTTTGAACCCAGGGCTTCCTGACTCCCAGTCTGGTGCCTTACCTCATGGCCCCCACTGTAGGTCCACAGGAGCTGATGGTCCAACCTCATCCCGGTTCTGGAATCCCGGGACGTTGTGCCACAAAAGGGATGGCTTTGCCCCCATCTGCAGAAGGAGGATGGGCGTCAGGGTGAGCCTGGTCCAGCAGGGTCCCAGTCTTCCGGACTGGGGGTGGCGGTGGGGAGGAAGCCAGCCTGGTCACAGAGCATTAACAAGCAGTCTGGGGCTACTGTTTGCAGCTTCTGTCCGTGGGGAGCAATGGAGCAAAGCTGATGCCTAATAATCGCTGCCGATCAAGCAGGACACCTGCAGAAGGTGGGGCCGGGAAGAGGCGGAACACTCCTGGAGTGAGGCACAGCCAGTGCAAAGGCCCCGAGGTGGAATGGAAGGAGGCCAGTCATGTGGGAACATACAGCGTGTGACGGGCAGGAATCTGGAGACAGGGGAGCCGGATGGTGAAGGGATTCAACCGCCATGGCAAAAGAGCCGTGGGAGCTTGTGGGGCAGGGGAGGACGTGGTCCTGCCTGGGATGTGGGAGTATTGGTTTTGGCAAGGGGCAGAGCGTGGAGGCAGGGAGAACAAAGGAGGCCATTGCCACGGGCCAGGTGAGAGCTGATGAGGCCCTGCTGGCTGTGAGCGTGGAGGGAAGGGGAAGAGAGCTTGTGGTCCACCAAGACCTCCAGCACTTAGCACAGTCCTGGCACACAGTAGATGCTGTCACCTGTGAGGCGCCAAGTCCACGAAGCTGGTTCAGTTACTCTCATTTATCCCTGGTCATCGCCCTCAAAAGGCCTTTCCTTAAGCACTTCCTCTGGAGCCCTGTGTGTGGTTGGCGTGGTCCCCCTGCACAGGGAAGGCTGTCCAGGAGGCGGCTGTCCTCCCCCACGTGGAATGGGGGATTTGAGCATCGTGGTGACCTCCTTCCCCTTGTGAATTCAGCCAGCCTCTTTATTCTGTAGATTAGAAAACTGCAGAGATGCCTTCTAACGAAGGCACTTGGACAATTCAGTGGTAGGAGAGAGAGAGACAGAGTAGAGGGGAGAGAGGTAGGGGAGAGAGAGAGACAGAGACAGACAGAGAAAGGAGACAGAGAAGGAAGGAAGGAAAGAGAGAGGGGTGGGGGAGGAGACTTTGTGTGTGTGTGTGTGTGTGTGTGTGTGTGTGTGTGTGTGTGTGCATGTGCACGTGTGCTTGCCCATTCATGCCACACACTGACATACCACCACACACTCGTCAAAGTTGAGTCCATTAGCATTTCCCCACAAAGCAGACAAGGCGTTTCCATCCTTGATGTGCTGACAGGGGGCATTGGGGATCAGAGCTGCTAAGCTGCCGGCCGCTCCCTTTTGTTCTGGCGCCCTAGACTGTCCAGGGACGTGCCTGCAGCCATTCTAGGCTGTCCAGTGCTGGGCTGGCTTGGCTCTGGGCCTCGGGAGCTGGGGGAGACCCCAGACCCCGGTCCTGAAGTTCGGTCCTTAAATCTGGGCATCTTCCGGGTTGATCAGAGGCCTGGTGAGGTGGCAGGAGCAAAGAAGGTGGCCAGGCTCCTCCAAGGGCTGGGACCAACGCTGCAGTTCTGTTGTTTTTCATTTTCATACCTTGAATTTCGTTTCAATTCTTTCTCTCCTGACTTGGCCTGACTCCTTGGCCACAGCTCAGTGCTTAGTGTGTTCTTGGCTTGTTGGCTGAGGGCCCTCGTGGGCCTGAGTAAATGGGGGGGACGCGGAAGGCTTCTGGCCAAGCGGTCCCAGGAGGGGCTACAGACACCGAGCAGATGCCGCGCCTAATGTGGGGTGGCCGCGGGGCAGTGGAGATCGGTGACCCCCAGAGCAAAGCGGACCACTGATGCTCTGTCTGGACCTTGGGGACCAGAAACAACTTGTCTGCTTTGGGCAGAGAATTTCCAAAGACTTCTCTTTGGCCCAGCATGTAGCCCCTCTTAGTGCCTCTGAGATCCTCCTGACTTTCTTGGCTGCCCTGCCCTTTTCTGGTGCCAGTGACTGGCATTCGTCCGGGGCACTTGGTGTTCTCTTGGTAGCGTCTTGCTTAGGGCAGGCTCCCCTTCCTTCAAGATCTTGACCCTGCTGGTCCAGATAACACGCGCCTTGGTCAAGAGAACAGAGCCAAAAGGAGCCAGGCAGCTCCACCTTCTCCTGGACATTGTGGTCCCTAGTCACATTCTGCACTCATAGTGGTGACACCATCACTGGTTCACGCTCACAGACTGCCAGGGGATCTCTGAGAGGTCACCGCTGGACTCGTGCCCCTAGCAGACAGCAGCCCTCACTCCACGAATGGCAGTGCCACCCACCCCTGCTTCCACATCTTTGGGGGGCCCCCCCTCCTCTGGCTTCTCTTCCACCTCCTTGTTTCCATTTCCTGGTTGGGTGAGCTCACTACAATGACAGGCTTAGCTCCTAGCCCCTAGAGGTCACCAGGGACCCTCCAATCACTATCCCAGTCAAACCAGAGTGCTGGCTCTCCTTCTCAGACCGATGGAGTGAGAGAGGGAAAAAACAAGCATTTATTAAGCACCTACTGTGTGTCAGGCACATGCTAAGCACTTACCAATATTATCACAGCAATCCTGGGAAGTGAGGGCTCTCATTACCACCCCTATTTTACAGATGAGATAATGAAGGGTAGCTGCTACCCTCCCCACTTTACAATTGAGGGAACTGGAGCAGAATCTTTTAAGTATCTGAGGCCAGATTTGAACTCAGGTCTTCCTGTCTTTGGGCCCAGCACTTTTCTGCTGATGGCGGTGTCCTAGATCTGAGCTCCCCCCAAACCCTCAACGTTCTGCCACGTGACTCATGCCCTTATGGGCTCCCTCTGGGGCCGGTCCGTTCTAATGCCTGCCCACAGCGTCGTGGGGCTGCCCGCTCCCATGGCCACCCTCTCACGTGGGCTTTGTGGGCTGACCTCAAATTCAGGGATGCCTCTTGCTTAGTTTTTCCTGCCTTCCTGATGCTGTTATCCCATTGGAGCTTATGTATTGATCTAGAAGACACCTCACAGGCCTAGAGTGCAGATCTCAATCCCTCGCTGCCTTCTGCAGAACTTACCATGTTGTCAGGTCCTGAAGCACATCCAGGCCACGAGTTGAGGAATAAAGCATCTTGAGATCGCAGGGGAGCAAACCTGACACCCTGGGGGATGTCCAATGGATTTCCCAGCTCCAAGACCCATGCAGATGCTTCTCATACCTTTTGGAGGAGAGGGGACAGAAAGAGTATGAGGTATTGAGGCCTGGTCATGAGACCCCAGCGGCCATTGGCAGTCTGGGCAAGGAAAGCTGCTCCATTCTGGCTGCTCTGCCCTTCTTGTCGTGAATCCCAACGTGAGGGTGCAGGGACATGAGAAGCTGAGATCCAGCTTGAGTTGGGCTCCCCCCATGACAGCATCCCTGGGTGGGGGGCACCTAGGGTGTGGCTCGGCTCAACCTAATCAAGAGTACCTGTCTTAAGAGTAGGAAGGCAAGGACATCACAAGGATCCTTTAAGGAGTGGCAGTCCATAGTACATTTGGCATGAACAATTTCTGTCATTATATTAACAATTTTCTGTCACTTTTCCTTGTTCTCCTGGAGCAAGGAAGCCTGGCCTCTGACTGTGGCTTTCCAGGTGGGTTCAGCCTACGTCTTTAGTAACTTAGCTGTGTCCCAGCTGCTCCACAGTATGGCAGGTGTTGCGACCTGAGGTTAACCCACCGCTTCTTGTCTGACCTTTCGGTGAGGAGTGCTCTACTCTGCGCCAGGTGGTCCTTAACTAGCCCGCGGCCAGCACGGTCTGCCTCTGAGCTGCACATGAAGCCTCTCTGGCTTAATGAGGCTGTCAGAGCCTTCAAGGGCCTCGGTCCTGTCCACGCTTCCATGAAACATCAGAGCTGGCCTGCTGGGCAGGAACAGCAAGACAGCAGAATTACCCCTCTTGTGGGTCCAGCACAGGAGCCCTGATTCGTCCAGCTAATCAGGGAAGGTACGACTCCCTGGAAGTAAAATGTCCAGATAAGACATTATCCCTTAAGTTCCTAACTTTTAAAAAATCCTTTGGGATGAAAATGGGCCTAAAGTGTCATGCCGTTCCTTGCCTTTGCTGGTGGGAGTCTCACTTTGGTGGGTCTGGGGCTCTCCGAAGTGGGTATTCCACCCAAAACAGGGCGGCTTCAGCCGAGCAGCATCTCCCCGTCCTCTCATGCATCTTTCTTAGGTCCCCCAGCAGAATGGGAGCACCTGGGGGCAGGCCTGCTCTGCTCTGGTCCTTGGATTCCAGGACTTTGGGCTGTGGTTGATCAAGGCCAGCCAAGTAGGCTGTCCCATCAGCATCAGTGTCCTGGCCCTTTCTCTGGCCCTCCCACTGCTGCATGTGTGAGAATGTGGTGCTTGGCTTGTCATCTGTCCGTGCCCGCGCTCCCGTGACCTAGCAGTGGTGTAGCATGATTTGTTTTTGGCTGAGATTTGACACTGGTGAGTAAGTCCTCTGTTCCAGGGCAGGTCTGGAAAGCTCTGTAGCTCATGGTCTTAGAGACTTTCCTGGCATACGGTTGTCACTTAACCTAGTGTGGAGGGGTGGATGGACAGAGTAGCTACATGAGCTTGGGATGCTCTGAGTCTGGGGCTCTTTCTTCTGTGCTGGTCCCCCTGGGCCATCTTCCACAGCCGGCTTGGGGTTCATGTGCCTCACTCTTTCTGTTGTGCTTTCTGGCCCCTGCAGCTGGGGTTCTTCCGCTGTCTTTGGGTGTTCTGTGACTCAGGGTCATGTAGCATCAGTGGGAGAATTGAGGGGTTATGAAGGTGGGCTTTTGTGACAAGGGGCAGCTTTGGGATCAGCACAGCATAACCATTGCTATTCATCACAGTGGCCAAAAATCATTTGGTAAATGCAAAGGGATATCCCCTGTCCACTACTGCCGAGATGAATCAGGCTGTGGAGCCCAGGTTGGCTGGTGAGCTCCTGCTCACTCCTCAGGCAGCAAACGCATCAACCTGGGCAATTCGACCACTGCGAGAAATTCTGCTACAGATCTTTACTTGTATGTGGAGCTTCCTTTTTCTTCAGTGATTCCCTCGGGTGGAGTCCCCTCACCAGTGGAGTCTCTGGATCAGAAAGTACAGACATTTTATGTACTTTATTGGCATAATTTCAAATAGATTTCCAGGATGGTTGTACTGTTTTGCAGCTCCACCAATAATGTATTAGTCTGCCTATCTTTCCACAACCCTTCCAGCATTAACTATTCTCATCTATTTGTGATACAGTCTTTAATATTCAGGCCATGTATCCATGCTGAACACATTGTGGAGTGTGGTGTAAGATGCTGGTCTAAGCCTGATTTCTGCCAGCCTGCTTCTCAGTCTGTTCACAAGCTCTTACCCTAGTTAGGGACTTCTTCCCTAAGTCATTCATGTTTCCAGATTATTGAACACCAGGTTAGTGGCTTCCTTGGCTTCTGGCTCTTCCATGTCCAGTCTTTTCCTTTGCTTTATCTCATCAATACCAAATGATTTTGATGACAGCGGCTGTTTCATGTAGTCTGGGGTCTCCTACCACTGTTTACCCCTCTCTATCCAACCTTTTGTTTCATGATTGACATGATTGACGTTCTAGGTCTTGTGTTTCTCCAACTGAACTTTTTTCTTCTCACAAAGGGTCCCTTTGACGGTTTGGCAGGTGCCTGTAATCCTACTTGTTTCTGTTCTGATGAAACAAGGGCCATCACTGTGCTCTGAATTTTAGTGCCCTGGGGTGATGAAGTGAAAGAAAAGAGGGAGGGAAAGAAAGGGGGGAGAGAAAGGAAGAGAGATCTAGAGAGACCGAGGGAGACAGACAGACAGACAGACACACACACACACACACACACACACACACACACACACACGCCCTCAGCCCTGCAGAACCCGCTGAGCCAGCAGGGGATGGCCTCCTGGTCTCTGCATCCTGCCTGCCTTGACCATCTCAATTCTGGGAAATGCTGGCCTCCAGATGTTTCCTGGCCCTCAGATACTCACTCTGCCAAGGGGAGGAGAGGCCGCCGGCGCAGGAATTCACACGTGGCTGCGGTGAGCTTCCTTTGCTTTGATGGTTGGTTCATAAGTATTCTTGTGTGTGTGTGAAAAGGAGAGCAGGACAATCCCGCTGGTCACTCACACTGCCCCTCCCACCTTTATCCTTTGATATAGAACGAGTGGGGGCTGCATGAATGAGGCCTCAGTTTCCCCATTTGTAAAACAAGGAGGTTGATCTCGATGCCCTGAGGTAGGACTTGCGCGTTCACAGCCTGCTTGGACCTTGCTCACTACGCTGAGCCATCCCTCAGCCTCCGTCCCCTCCCCTGTGAGAGAGGGGTTGGCCTCGGGGATCTCCGAGAACCTGCCCGGAACTCTGAGGGGGCTCCCAAGATTCCGATGGTGTTGGCCTAGTAGAGGCCGGCGTGTCCTGGATGGCAACAGCTGGCACAGATGCCATGCCTGTACAGATGCGCTCTCCCTTGATGCGCTGGACGTATTTAGACCAGGCGAATCCCAGCCCACAAGGCTCACGGCCCAGGGCACCCAGCATGCATCGCGGGAGAAACGGGCCCCTCTGCATCTGATGGGGTGCGCTGGGTTTCTCCCGGCCCGTGTTGTCTGCTGCAGTCCTTCAGGGCTCATTCTAGGAAGCGCAGGCTCACGTGATTGGCATTCTCGCTGCTGGGGAATGAGCAGCCCTGGGGTGCCTAGCACTCTGGCTCCCGCCAGCCTGGGATGCCAGCTCACGTCAGCGGCTCTACTGCTTTCCATGCCCCTCACCCGCCAGCTAGCTGCTGGCCATCCAGGCCGCTGTTGGGTTTCCTTAGCTTCCTGTCAAAGAGTCAGGTGGGGTGGGGGCAGGGAATACTTGAGGCCCTGGCTGGCTCCATCCGTCTGCTCCTTGCTCACATCCCATGGAGCTTTCTGCCTGCAGAGGTGAGCCGGCCTCTGACAGATTTTTGACATTCCCAGAGAAGTGTGGCCTGCAGGGGCTTCCGTGGCCGGGCCTGGAGGGCCGCCTTGGGGGTCTCTGGTGAAGCAGCTCCCTGGGAATATGGGGTTGACTGGCTCCAGAAATCCTTCCCGGGGGCTGTTATTTTTATTTAGTGAAAGCTGAAAGCTAGAGGCAGGGAGCTTTCTGAGCTTGCTTCTTGCGGCCTCCTTGTCCCCCCAGGATCAGCTGCGGGTTCCCTACGTTTGCCCCTGCCCCTGGGCACCCCATTTCAACTCCTGCTTGGCCCCGAGTTTGGCTAACAGCTCCTCTCTCCTCTCTTCAGGCACACCTTTTGGCAGTTTCGACGTGAGAACCCGCAGACCAGAGTTGGAGACCCTCCTCCCGATGGGCTCCCCGGCTTCAACAGCGGCGTGATGCTCCTGAACCTGGATGCCATGCGTCAGTCGGCGCTCTACCAGCAGCTGCTGGAGCCCGCGGCGCTGCAGCAGCTCACTGAGAAATACCGCTTCCAGGGCCACCTGGGCGACCAGGACTTCTTCACCGTGGTTGGCATGGAGCACCCCGAGCTCTTCCATGTTCTAGACTGCACGTGGAACCGGCAGCTGTGCACCTGGTGGAGGGACCACGGCTATGGTGACGTCTTTGACGCCTACTTCCGATGCGAGGGCCACGTCAGGATCTTCCATGGTAACTGTAACACGCCTATCCCAGAGGACTAGGGTCCCGGGGCTTTGCCCTGTCCCCCAGAGCAGCATGAGGCCCCACTGAGGTTGTTCCCTGGCCTGGCTTCCCTTGGGATCTCCCTGTTCAGCCAGTCTTGGTCCACCACTGACGCCCTCCATCACACCTGCCCGCGGGTCGCTGGGTGGGGGAAGGACAAGAGGATGACTGGGGATGATTGGCCCACTGGCCAGAGGGCAGTGCTGCCCAGGAGGGAAGGGCTGAGTTCTCAGGAGAGAAGGAAGAGAAGAAGCCTCCCCTCCCATGAGGGGGTCTTTTTGGCCGTCTGGGCCTGAATCAGATCACGTGATGTTAGTGCTCTCCAAATACCGTCCTCGCTTGGACCAGGAACAGACTAACTCAGAAACAAGAGGCTTCCATCTTCCACGGGCACTCAAGCATCAGCCGCCCCTGCTGGTGTGGCCCTCAGGTGTCAAGGCTGGGGCTCAGGAGCACTGGCCCTCGAGGTGCCTCAGAACCGTGGCCAGAGCCTCCCTACAGTCCACCCAAGCTCGGTCTACTAGGGCGCTGGCCTTTCTGATCATGTACATTGCTCACCATTATTTGGCTCTGAGCAACCTTCTCCTGCAGCTGGATGGAGACTGGGCACTCCCCGTGGAGCAGAGCCCATCCACCCAGTATTATTGTGCCCCCTGAGTCGGCGTCCGGGCCACATCCTCTGGGACACACGTCCAGCCCCGAAGGCCAGCTGAGGCTCAGCCAAAGGCGTCGTTAGCAGAACTCATGCAGCTGACCACCATGGTGATGACCACACTCTGCCTGAAGGCCAGATTGTGCCATGCTGGGGAAAATGGCAGCCTCACTGCTCGTCTTCAGACCTTGTAAGTAGCCCAGGAGGCCGGTGCCCACGTTCACCTCCATCCTCTTAGCTTCAGATGGGCCGCACGGACCTGTCTGTCGGGCAGAGCCCAGGGGAGTCCCCGGGGTGGGGGAGGGGGGCATGCCGGAGACTTCTCCCTTTTGTGTTGAAGTGTATGTCTGCCCGAGGGCAGCCGGTACCCAGCTGTGGCCGCACACTGTTCACTGCTGCCTGTTCTGAGTGTCGTTTTTAACTGCATGAGGGCTCCGGTCCAGAGCTTAATAAATTCAGTGGAAAGAACCTGTCCTCCTCCGTTGATTGCGTTGGGACTGTGAGAGGCTCAAGCTCTGAGCCAGAGCCCTTAGGCTTCGTGGGGGCCATTGGGGGGGGGGCGTTGCAGGCTCCAGTCCCGAGGGATGGGCCCAGGCTTTCCAGCTGTTGTGACCCGAGGCGTCTGCTCCTGAGAGGGGAAGGAGCATCAGACTTCAGATGCTCTGGGTCAAGATTCTCTCCTGTGCACGGCAGAGCTGACTCAGGCCCATATGGATTTCCCAGAGAATCTACAGCCACCGGCTGTTTGCACTTGGTGAGCCAGATTCAGGGGTCCCCTGCGCTCCCTTGGCTCACAGGCCCAGGCTGAATGCAACGTCTCTGCCTTTTGACACTTTCTGCATGGATCGTATGAATGCACTGACAGAGGGCTGGTCTGCAACATGAGCTTGGTAGAAACCAAGCTCATTTCAGTCACTTCTGTTGAAAGACAGATATGCTGATGGGCAGTCACTCATCTCTTGGGTGGTAAAGCAGCATCCCGGAAGCCCTTTCCTAGGCAACACCATATTAACCTAATCTGAGTTCAGCTGTGTGGGAAAACAGAAATGATTCTGCTTCTTTGTCTTAAAGAAATGCCCAGATTCCTCCTTTCCCCTCATTCAGACTAGCATGGCTGTCTCCGTGGGCCTAGTGGGCTGGGGATGCAGACATGCATGGCTGCATGTCAGTGCCTACCTCAAAGGGCATCTTCTGGCCTGTCCTCGGGCTCACAGGGGCACCTGGCTGCCTCCCTTTATCCCTGTGACTCCTAGGCTGTCCCAGCTGGAAGGGGCCTCAGCACGCTGCCCCCTCCCTTTCCCGTCGTCCTCTGCCTCTGCTGCTTCGAGGGGGCCTTCTCCTTCAGCCCAGCCTCCTGTCGGCAGAGCGAGCCTGCTCCCAGCCCCCACTAACAGAAAAGGGCAGCAGCTCGTACTGCAGCATCTGGGAAAAGAAGCCACTGCTGGTGCGGCCGCCTCTGCCCTGAGCTCCTGTGAGAATCAGCCTACCTTGGGCCTGCTGGGAGGGGGTCGGGGTGCTGGTGAGCAGCAGGGGAATGATGGGTCTCTCTGCCCCTCATTCCTTTGGGTCATCATGAAAGCTTGGAAGGGCCTTTGCCTCCCTCAGTCACAAAGCAGAGCGCTTGGATCTGGCGCCCTGGGCCGAGCTCTGCTGTCACAGGGCTTCTGGCTGCAGAGCTGGCTGGCATGTGGGGAGAGAGGGACAGAGGGAAGGAGGGCCCTGGAGGGGAGGAGGGGGGAAGGGGAGGAGGGCCCTGGGGAGATGGGAAGGAGGGCCCTGGGGGGAGGAAGGGGAGGAGGGAAAGAGGGCCCTGGGGGGAAGGGGGGGGAGGGAAGGAGGGCCCTGGGGGGAGGAAGGCCCAGGGAGGTGGGAGGAAGGAGGGCCCTGGGGCTGTGTGGCTCTGCCTTTTCTGCTCTGTACACACACCCTCACTGTCACTGGTCCATCTCTGGTTGGCGTTCAGGGATCTGGGCCCCGCCCTGGTGGGCTTGGAAGACTACCTGGGGCTGTTCCCTCATGCATGCATGCCTTCTTGCTCCCTCATTCCATGGTTTATTAAACTCCCCATGCGTGGGTTTGTGATTCTCTGTGCACCCACACCCCCATACCCACACACACGCATGCACACACACACGCATGCACACACACACGCATGCACACACACGCACACGCGCATGCACACACACACGCACACACGCATGCACACTCCCCCTCCAGGCAGCTTAGTGTTGTGGTGGACCAAGCGCTGGGCCAGAATTCAGAGTGACTGGAGTTGAAGCCCTGAGCCTCTGACACTTACTGGCTGTGCCATCCTGGGCAGGTTACAGCTGTTTGCCTCAGTTCCTTCAGCTGTAAAATGGGGTAATGACAATATCTACCTGGCAGTGTTGTCATGAGGATGAAATGAGATAATACGTGTAATGTACTTAGTAGTGTCTGGCATATGGTAGGAGCTTAATAAATGCTTATTATTATTATTATTATAGTTTTGCATATTTTTCTTTCAATAAATCTCAAAATAAAAAAATAGTCAATTCGACAAACATTTATTAAGCACCTACTGTATGCTTAATACATTACTAGACTGTGAACAATAGGGATATGAAGGCAAAAAGGAAACAGTTCTTGCTTTCCATGACCTTACATTCTCCTGGGTGAAACGATACGTATCAGGTAAATAAATACAAGATAGATATTTTGTTGTTTCAGTCATGTCTGACTCTTTGTGACCCCATTTGGGGTTCTTTTGGCAAAGATACTTTGGTGGTTTGCCATTTTCTTCTTCAGTTCATTTGACAGATGAGGAAACTGAGGCAAATTGGGTGAAGTGACTTGCCCAGGGCCACACAGCTGGTGTCTGAGACTGGATTTGAACTCAGGTCTTCCTGTCTCCAGGCTCAGCTCTCTATCCACTGCGCCGTCTGGCTGGTAGATAGATATAGATGCAGAGGTATATCTGTTTATACACACACTCCCACACATATATGTGTAGGTATGTATATAACTGGAGAGGACCAGTAGTAGCTGTGGAAATCAGGAAGGGCTTCTTGCAGGAGGCGGCCCTTGTACCGATCCAGAGAAGAATCTGGGGATGCCAAAGGGCAGCGATGGTGTGGTGGGCATCTCAGCTACGGAGGACACTCTGGGCAAAGATGCGGAAGCAGATGGAATGTGGTGTGTGGACAAGAATTCAGTGCCAGGGTAGCTGGGAGGGAGTCATGTGTGAGGAGCCTAGAGCAGCAGCTGGTCGGGTCATGAAGGGCTATGAATGGCCAACGGGGGTGTTTGTGTTTGACCCAGGGCTGGCCCCTTCTCAAACAAGGGCCTGAGATCTGAGCAGCTGAGGGGAGGCCAGCTCGGAGAGGGAAGAGAGTAGGGCCAGGGAGGCTGAGCTGGAGGCCAGTCCGGTGGTTGGGGGAGAGGATGAGAAATCCAGTAGAGAGTCAGTCTCTATGTCGAACCCTCTGTTTGAACCGTCTACATTTTTATTTCAAAGGAAAGCAGTTAATTCTCTCCTAATGGACACTTTCCTGCTTTTTCTTAAACAGGGTCCAGTTGCTCCAGGGTCCCCGTCCCATCCTCTTTGGTGTTGTTGCTCTCAGGGTGGGCTGTTTGGAGAGATCTCAGCTTTTCAGCCCTCATCTGTGGTTTCCTGGTCTTCGTTTTCTCCACGTTTGTCATTTCCACCACCCTGGTACGTCCCGTGACGTGTGGGCTGCCATTTCGTAGGCCTGCTCCCATCATGTGGTGTGGTCAGGGCACAGGCCAGCAGGCCCATCGCCGGTCCGTGCTGGACACTCACAAAGCTTCTGTTAACGCAGCTCAGGTTCACATTGGCTCTTGGGGCCTCCGTGTCGCGTGGTTGGCTCGTGCTGGCCTGGGGTCCCCAGGCCTGTCATTAGGTCATGTCTTGCCTTACTTTACAGCTGATTTTTTAAGTCCCAAGTGCAGGGGCTTACGTGTACTTCATTTGCTTCCATCATAGATTTAGCCTGCCATTCTAGCCTGTCGTGACCTTTGTGGACCTCAGTGCCGTCTCCCTTTCAACTTCCTGTCGTCCAGACTTCCCAGAGTGTGGGGCCTGGAGCCAGAAAGACCTGAATTCAGATGTGGCCTCAGACACTTACTAGCCGTGTAACCCTGGGCAAGTGACTAACCTCTGTGCACCTCAGTTTCCCCACCTGTAAAATGAGGATAATAATAGCATCTACTTCTCAAAGTTGTTGTGAGGATCCAGTGAGATGATATGCATAAAGTGTCGTAAGAAGGTCAGCTATTGTAGAAGTTGGTGAATGTGCATCTGCATCTCCTTCCAAGGCACTGCTGAGACTTTTGGACTGACTAGGCATGAGAACCGAGCTCTGTGGGTGCTTGAAAGGAAGCCCTATCTCACAGAACCCTAAGAGATAGGCCGGGCTGGGTCGATGAGACCCATTTTTAAGATGATGAGCCCGGGACCTTTAGAGGGGAAGTGACTTGTCCATGGTGACACAACTGGCTAGAACTAGGGCTTCAATCCAGTGTTCTGTCTGTGCCCTGCTGAGGCCATAGCCATGTCACTTCCCTTCTGCATTCTTCCTTTCTCACCCTCACAGTGCTTCTTTTAGGGCAGTGGCCGTGATTCCCTTGGGCTGCTCTGAGCCCTCGGGAGTGTGGGCTCTTCCTTCTCATTCCACACGTGCCTCCCTTCCCTTTGCTCTTCACCAGACCTCCGACTTGTGCCTCCCATTCTGAAGTGATTCTGCCTTCCTTTTTTACCCCCCTTAAAAAAGAGTAAGACCTTCTTCTCAATGAGCCCAATACCTTATCTGTAATTGTTTCCAGAAGTAGACTCAGGCTCATTCAGGGTGCTGGCTTTTCTTTTTAAGTATTTCTGTTGCTCTGCGTCTGACTGTTTCCCACTTTCCACGAGCCTTGTGCTGCTCCTCGTCTGGTCTGGACCCATGGTCTCATTGGCACTCGACCTCTCTCTTTCCAGGGCCCCACCTGCCCTGCCCCCCATAGCTTTGATGCCTTTATCATTCTCCAGCAAAGGACTCCCCAGTGCTGAAGAATCCAGCTAGCTTTCCTGTTGTGGTTTCCAATTCCATTGGAATATGGTTTGTTCTTTGGTGGATGAGGGGAAAGGTTGATATGGCCATAGGCATGGTCAGCATGTGCTGGTGGGGGAGGGGTGGGCTGGTCCCAGGTGTGTGTGTGTGTGTACAGGGAGCGGGCATAGACTGGCAATGTGGCAGCATCTGGACATCAAGGACAAAGCAGCAAGTCTGCGATCAGTCAGAGGCCCACAGAACCAGGGTTTGAGCTCAGCTCAGCTTCCTTTTTCTGCAGGAAGCTCTTTCTGGTATCACCCCCCCCCCCATTACCTTCTATCTCCTCTGTATGTATCTGTATGTCTCTGGTCACATGCATGTTGCTTCTCCCACTAGAATGTAAGCTCCTTGAGGGCGGGAACCATTGTCTTG